TGCACATGCAACACCAAGAGCCTACATGTTTACTGGCTGTAGGTCCATCAGTACGATTTCTTCCTATTTCTTTTCTTATAGTTTCATCAGAAATGAGAATATGAGGCATAGAAGGTCCACATTATTTATGGGGGATAAAGAATAGGACTACCTGACATTACATGCCTCTTGATGTGGTGCAATAGAAAACATAGCATCTGTGAAGCACCATAACCTGGAGCCAATCAGACCTCTAAATTACTTACAGTCTATTAGCAATCCAAGGGCAAGAGGAAGGGGCTGAATGATGCCATGAAGAAATAAGCAAACAATCCAGAAAGTGGAAAATCTTATTAGACAGTTAGCATAGATGCTTCAAACAGTCAGTGTCAGCTGGGTGCAGTGGCTCACACTTAGAATCCTAGCACTTTGGAGGCCAAGGCAGGAGGACTGCTTAAGGCTGAGAGTTCAAGACCAGCCTGAGCAACATAGCAAGACCTGGTCTGTACCCCAAATTAAAATATTAGCCAGGCATAATGATGTGCACTTGTAATCCCAGCTACTAGGGAGGCTGACACAAGAGGATCACTACAGCCCAGGAGTTAGAAGTTGCAGTGAGCTGTGATGATGCTACTGCACTCCAGCCTTGGCAACAGAGCTAGGCCCTGTCTCGTTAAAAACAATCTAACATGGGCGGCACCTGTGGCTCAAAGGAGTAGGGTGCTGGCCCAATATGCGGGAAGTGTCAGGTTCAAACCCAGCCTCGGCCAAAAACTGCAAAAAAAAAAAATCAAACATTACCCTCCCCATCCCATTCCCAGCCTTCTCTCTCCCCTACCATTGTCCCTTTTCCCTCCCAGCCTCATTTCCTTTTCTTTCCTGGAGTATGTGGTAAAACAGAAAAATCATGTTTAATAAACAGAGATTGTTCTTTAAAAAAAAAAAATGAGGGTGGCATCCATAGCTCAGTGGGTAGGGCACTGGCCACATATATCAAGGCTGGTGAGTTTGAACCTGGCTCCAGTCAGCTAAAACAATGACAACTGCAACGAAAAAATAGCTGGGTATTGTGGAAGGCGCCTGTAGTCCCAGCTACTTGGGAGGCTTAAACAAGAGAATCACTTGAGCCCAAAAGTTTAAGATTGACATGAGCTGCGACAGTATAGCACTCTACCTAGGGCAACAGTCTCAAAAAATAAATTAATAAATAAAAAATAAATAAATAAATAAATAGAAGTATCTTGTCAAAGAAGCTAGACAAGAGATCGTTTATTCTCTCATTAGAGCCAATGTAGAGGCATGGTAAAACACTAGGCCCACAGCAAAAACCCAACAGAGGTGGGTTTCTCCCTGCCTCCCTTCTTCAGAGGTTAACTTAGCTCTGTTTGGAAGACACAAGCATACTCATCATACCATTCCCCAACACTGTCTCCTCTAGAGGGCCCTTTGGGGCATTTTCTTCCAATGCCACTTCAAGGGAGCATTCTTCTGAAGCATGTTTCAAACGCTCAGGATCTGCTCTCTTGAACTGCTGCATTCGCTGTAGGACCAGCTCTGCTGTGCGAGGTTTGGAGGGACTTGGCACAACTGTCGTCAAACGGGAAGGAGGTGGCTGGGAGTCACTGTTGGGAGTGCTCTCTGGCAGGAAGAAAATATTCACAAGCATCTGTTGTAGCTGGAAAAATAACAGGCTTTTCCAGCAGATAGAGATATGACCTACGTTTCAAAGGAGTCTTTTATCAACTAGTTTAGGTTTGACTCAAACAGAACTGATTGCTTGTTGGTAACTTCTTTGCCTATGGCAATGTAAACATAAACATCAATGATAGGAGGGAAATGACAAATGACTGCTAACTGAGCTTGGGGTTTATTTTGGGAATGATGAAAATGTTCTACAATTAGGAGGTGGTGATAGTTGCACAACTGTGAAAATTCTAAAAACCATTTAACTTTATATTTTAAAAGGGTAAATTTATAGAATGTGAATGATATCCCAATAAAGTTGTTATTAAAGAATAATAATAGGCCAGGCGCAGAGGCTCACACCTGTAATCCTAGCACTCTGGGAGGCTGAGGAGGGTGGATTGCCTGAGCTCACAGGTTTGAACCAGTCTGAGCAAGAGCAAGCCCTCATCTCTAAAAATAGCTGGGCGTTGTGGCAGGGGCCTATTGTCCCAGCTACTTGGGAGGCTGAGGCAAGAGAATCACTTGAGCCCAAGAGTTTGAGGTTGCTGTGAGCTATGATGCCACAGTACTCTACAGAGGGCGACAAAGTGAAACTGTCTAAAAAAAAGAAAGAAAGAAAAATATTAATGACAAAGGTTTACATGTTCTAGATCAGGAGTTCTGCTTTAACTTAGGATCCAGAAATGTCCTTCAGTAGGGATCTAGAAACCCCCTGAAGTTGTGTCAATTTCACAGGTATACATGTAGGTACAGCTTTCTGGGGAATCATGACTAGCTTTTATTAGGCCTGCAAAGGGAAGGGGAGAGACCAATAGTGTTGGTAAAACAGCACTGCTGAAGCCTTACAACAGTCTCTGCGAGCTAAGATATTACCACCATTTACTGAGAGGTGATGCTGACCACACTAGAAAAAAAATGATTTAAGATCAGGAAATGAAGGTGAGAATTTAGAAACAACTCATGAGCCCAAACTGCTTGTGGTGTATTATATATGCAAGAATAGTTTCCAGTTCTGCATGAAGAAGGTATGCTAAGCACATGGATCAATATACTTAGGGTATCAGGGCAAGAAAGCTGCTTACAAACAAAAAAGGAGAGGGATAGAATAAAAGATCTTTAGAGGAGAAAAAGAAAGGACTTTAAGATTCTCCTAGGACTTAAATCCATACAGCACCTTCTCAGCAACCACCAAATTGGGTTGCCAATTCCAACTTACCCACTTTGGAATAAGTTTGAGAAAATGACAAAAGCAGCATTCTTGTCATGTTTATGTAACTCTTGTCAACCACATAATGTAAACCCACACAGGAAATTCTGAAAGAGCAGAGGACTCCAAACATAAATCATATAAAAAATTCACCAAGGGATCATTTTTTTTTTTTTTTGAGACAGAGCCTCAAGCTGTCCCCCTGGGCAGAGTGCCGTGGCATTACAGCTCACAGCAACCTCCAACTCCTGGGCTCAAGCGAGTCTCCTGCCTCAGCCTCCCAAGTAGCTGGGACCACAGGCGCCCGCCACAGCGCCCGGCTATTTTTTTGGTTGCAGCCGTCATTGTTGTTTGGCGGGTCCGGGCTGGGGATTCGAACCCGCCACCTTAGGTGTACATGGCTGGCGCCTTAGCCGGTTGAGCTATAGGCGCCGAGCCGGGATCATATTTTTTATGACTACTGTTTAAAACATAAGTCAGTAAACTCTGGTCATAGGGCTGGCTGCTGTTTTTATAAAGTTTTACTAACACACAACCATACCCACTCATTTATATATTGAATATGGCTACTTTTTCACTGCAACAGCAGAGTTGAATAGTTTCAACAGAGACTGTATGGCCCACAAGGCCAAAATAATTTACTATCTGGCCTTTTTCAGAAAGTTTTCTAACCCCTGGTTTAAAATAGGACAAATCATCTCTGATTTCCTCTGGAAAGTTCTGGGGATGGTTCTTGCCCAGTTACCTGTCTGGGTGGTCTGTGCTCTTTCCCAGAGTACAGGCTGGTTTGGAGCCGGAGCAAGCATACCTCCTTCACCGTTTACAGTGACATCTACTTCAGTAGCTTGCGACTTGGTAGTCCTTTGCTTTTTAGTCGTAGGGGGCTGGCTGCCAGATCGAGGTTTCTTCTCTGCAGGGTCTTGAAGGGTTTTGCTCTTGGTATCAACTTGTTTTGTTCTTTTCAATTTGCTTCTTACCTGTGTGCCATTTGAGGCGTTTTGTGCCTTCTTTTCTCTTGGCACTTCCTTGGTTGCATTTTTTTTCACCCTTTGGAAAAAGCTGGAGCAGAGTTCTTTAAAATCCTCATCTGACTCATCCATCATGTGACAACATTTAAGGCTTTCAGTCCAGTCTTCGGAGGAGTGAGAGTCAGTCTTGGGGCATAAACACAGATGCAAACATGAACCCAAGTGTAAGCTTAGCCAAGTCTCATTCACACTCACAGCCTCCTATGGTTCCTCTCTTCTCACTTAGATAGATACTTGGAGAATTTGTACAACAGAACAAGAAGTATTGTTTTCCTCTCCACAGCAATTTAAATGTCTTTGTTCAAGTTAGGCCTATGGTTAAATAATATATTTAAAGGTTTCCTCTGTTAAAGTTCACAGCCAAGAGAATGTTTTGTTGTCCAATAGATGTTTCTCAAATAGATTATCTATGAACTTGATGTTCAGATGATTCACCAAGATCTCCATGGTGATAAAGCACATTTGGTTCACTTAATTTGATATCTGTGGAAAACCAAAAGCATCTAAGTGTAATTAGACAGCCATTGTTATTTTATGCATTTCTTCCAGAATGTAAAAGGGCATGTGGGATAAGGGATAAGTCTTCAGAATAACTATATTCCTCTCAAATACTCAGAACAGCCTTGTCAACACGGTCTAATCTTTCTATAGGACATCACTAATTAACAGAGGAGAGTGATTTAGGAACTTCTTAAAGCATGTGTTCTTCCAGAAAAGTATGCATACCTTGAGAGAATGTTTTTTACCGAAACTTGGGGGGGGGGGCAATGGATGGCAGTAACCACAGAAACAGAAGTCCGAAATCTAGAACAACTATCACCTAACTGGCTAAGACCCCCATCTATTAAAGGCTTTATCAGCAAACACTGCATTATGAGAGACAGATCAGCCCAACAAGAGCTCTCCAAACTCAGATGACTGGAGTGCTGCCTAGGAATGATAATTTACTTTGGCACATGAATGACCTAACAGCAGAAAGTTCTTCATTTCAAACACAATGATACGATTCATGTTGTGCAAATAATCTGATTAATCATTTTGTTTTCGAAAGCTAGGCAGATACCCCTACCTAGAATCTATTTTGTATGATAGACAAATGGCTGGCTCATTCTCGTCTTCTACATCACTTCCTTAGTGAAGCCTCCCCAATCCTTTAAGTGGATCCTCCACCAACATTAATCTCTATCACCATCCACTGTTTTCACAATATCATTTGTCATAGGTTATAATCATGTAGTAGATATTATTTATTGAATGCTTAGTTTGTGCCAAGCACGGTTACAACTGCTTTTCAAACCTTTAACTCATTTCATCTGTACAGTAATATTTTATGGTAGAATCTAGTGCCGCTTTCTCTTTTTTGGTTTTTTTTTTTTTTTTTTTGTAAAGACAGAGTCTCACTTTGTTGCCCTTGGTAGAGTGCTGTGCCATCACAGCTCACAACAACCTCCAGCTCTTGGGCTTAGGCGATTGTCCTGCCTCAGCCTCCCAAGTAGCTGGGACTACAGGCGCCCGCCACAACGCATGAATACTTTTTTGCTTTAGTTGTCATTGTTGTTTAGTAGGGCGGTGCCGGGTTTGAACCTGTCACCCTCGGTATATGGGGCCGGCATCCTACCCAATGAGCCACAGGCACCGCCTCTGCCACTTTCTCTTTATAGCAAGAAAACAGGCACTAGCAGAATCAGGAACCAGTTCAAGTTCTCACAGCTTTTCAAGTGTCAGGGTTGGGATCAAACCCAGGCAGTATGGTTCCAGAGTATCTTGCTCTTATAGTTTTATTCATCAACTTATTATTTGCCCCTACTAAGTTAACGTTTTAGGAGGGCACAGACCCATCTACTCCACTTTGTATTTTCTGCGGCTTAGCCAGTGCCTGACTTATAATAAGTAATGGACAACTACTTGTTGAATTCATGAAATGCACTCTGATGATATTCATGATATTCACTCTGATATAATCAGAGTGAAGAGAAAGTGGTAGGACAGAAGGCTGCAGGGAGAGGCAAAAACTAGTTCCCAAGAGCCTGAAACGGCAGGCTAAGCCAAATGAATTTTATTCTGTTGGATGTGGTGAGAAGTTAGAGCAAATTCCACCCTCCACAACAGTGTGGAGTCTCCCCATTTCTGTTGACATGAGTCTTAAACAGTTGCATCTCCTATAGTTGCTCAATCGATATGTGCTGAAAGACATAACGGATCCTACAAGACTGCAAGTTTCCAGAGGGTAGGGGACTTGGGCCTCAGCATCCCACCTACCTCGGCGCCCGGCTCACAGCAGGCACGGAATGAATGAATGGATCGGTGCGGGGCGGACCCTCCCGCTTCCCCCCAGCCTGGAGACCTATGGAAAGGAGGCTGAGGGATCCGTCTGAGAAAGGGCTACCAGCACTCTGACAGCTCTCAGGCCCCAGACCCTGACCACCAAAGATATCTGGATCCACTCCCGTCCTCCCTCGAGGAGGGCCCCGGGCCCCTCTCCAGTCCGCCGAGGCTACGGGCCTGTCGAGGCCAAGGAGCCAGCGAGGAAGACGGGCGAGAAAAGCTCTTCTTCCTCAGGAGAGCGAGAACCACCCGAGATAACAGAACCGACTCCGCCGGGCGCAGACTCCCAGCCCCAAAGCCCGGCTCCTCCTACCTCCGGCGCCGTCCGGACACCTTCTCAACGGAGAACCGTGCGCCTGCGCATGCGCCACCCATCGCCACCACCCCACCCCCTGGAGAATTACGTTTGCGCCGGCGCACAGCGGCCCGTTGGCTGGGAGGGGTGTCTCGCCTTCCCATCTTCCTCCGCGGCTACGGGCGCGGGCGCGGGCGCGCGGCGACTAGTGCTCACTGACAGCGCCGGCCTGGGCGAGGCCTGGAAAGGCGGAAGCTGCGCCGAACAGGCTGGGCGGCGGCGGTCCGCGCCGGTATAAAGTCTGTTAATTGGTAAGGACAAGTTACGGTGAGTTTGCGGTGCTGTCACAGCAGTTTTAAGATAAAATCTGGTTTCACCACTGTTACTCAGGTGTTTGCTGGTACAATGGCGGCCCCGTCAGAGCGCACCTGCCTGTGGAACAGAGTTATCGGAGTGAGGGGAATTGGAAGAAACCCCAGATCCAGTCTGTCAGTCCCGGGAGAGTTTGCTTCCCGGAGAGGGTAGCCTGAAAGTTGAGGTCTGGTGATTGGGGAACGTTAGCTGCATGAAGAGGGGATTGTACTGTGCTTGCCGCGGCCTGCATACCCAGGCTCTTGCAGAGTTGTCAAGAGCTTGAGATGAAGGTGAAGCTGGAGAGATTCCCCCCAGGATGAAATTTGAAGGACTTTACACATCCTATTAAGGGTTTCAGCTTCAGCCTGGGGTCATTGGGAACCATTGAAGATTTTCTTTTTAAAGGCTATGCTAAATGCAGTGTAAAGATTGGATGGGGGAGCAAGACAGGAGACCACGAGACCCATTAATTAGGAGGCTGCAAAGATCTGGGTGAAAAATGAGAATGGCCCGAGTTAGTGAAGAAAATGGAGACATCTAAAGTGTTAGACTCGTCATGACCTACTTGTCTGTTATGATTTGCAGGTCTGGCCTGAGCATCTGAGTGAACGTGATCACGGAAAAAGTGTCAAGAAACAGGTTTGGAGGGAAGATATGTTCATGTAAAGATATAATCCACATATTAAAAATTTACACTTTAAAGTGTACGATTCAGTGGTTTCTAATGTATGTAGAAAAGTCACTACAAAGGTTTTTCAGTTTTTGGCTGGGGCTGGGTTTGAACCCACCACCTCCGGTATATGGGGTAAGCGCCCCACTCCTTGAGCCACAGGCGCCATCCTACAAAAGTTTTGAGACAGACTCCGTTGTGGTTATTGCACTTCCAAGAAGTGCAGTAGACTGTTTTTTTCTGATTCACTTGTGCAAATTTTAACGCTGGACTTGTCTGTGTTGCTGGTAGGGCTTCATTTGTTTCCATCCACTCTGCACTCATTGGCAGTCAGCTATGGAGCTGGGAAGAGAGCACTTCCGTGCAATGATTTTCTATGATTTTAAAAGTGGGTTAAACCAGACTCAAAGCCTTGAGCGTTTGCATCGAGCTTTTGGGGACCTTACTCCTTCTCGTGCGACAATTTTTCGGTGGTTTCAAGAATTTAGAAGAGGCCGTACTTCACTGAGAGATGAAGAGAGGAGTGGGCGTCCAGCAACTGCAGTAACTGAGGAAAACATTGCTGCTGTGGAAAAAATGGTTCGCAAGAACAGTCAAGTGACAATTAAGGACATTGAGGCAGCACTACAGATTGGATCGCCTGCAGTGTCCAAAATCCTGCACAATTATCTTCGAGTCAGGAAAGTTTTATCCCGTTGGGTGCCTCACACTTTGACAGATGAGCAAAAGCGCATCCGTGTTAAATGGTGTCAAGAAATGCTGATCAGATTCGATGGAGGCAAGTCTAGACGCATTTCTGACATCATTACTGGTGATGAAACCTGGATATACCAGTTTGATCCAGAGAATAAATGTCAGTCGACAGTGTGGATTTTTTTTCCTGATGAAAATCCACCAACAAAAGTGAAGCGGCCCCGAAGTGTCGGAAGGAAAATGGTGGCAACTTTCTTCTCCAAAAGCGGTCATATTGCAACTGTTCCTCTGGAGGAACAAAGGACTTTTACTGCTCAGTGGTATACAACAGTATGCCTACCAAAAGTTTTCAGGAAGCTTCAAGAGTGGCGGCCAACGACAGGACTGCGGGGGACCATTTTGCACCATGACAATGTATCAGCCCACACAGCCAACATCACCATTCAGTTTCTGGAGTCCACAGAAGTTGAACTTATGACTCATCCACCCTATAGCCCTGACTTGGCCCCATGTGATTATTTTCTGTTACCTATAGTAAAAAATCGCATGCGGGGAAGAAGCTTCTCTAGCCCTGAAGAAGCTGTTTGTGCCTACGAAAATGAGCTTACAGCACTTGAAGAAAATGAGTGGAAGGAGTGTTTTAAAGAATGGTTTACAAGAATGAAAAAGTGCATAGAATGTCATGGTGATTATTTTGAGAAAATACAGTAACCAAAATTATTTTATGTTTTTTAATTTTTGTGTATCTCAAAACTTCAATAGTGTCCCTCATACAAGATTATGCAGCCATCATTATTATCAATTCAAGAACATTTTGTAACCCCCAAATAGAAACTTTTATACTCATTAGCAGTCACTCATC